GGGGGGGGGGGGGGGGGTTTCAATAGACATGGATATGTTTAGAGCTGCTGGAATAGTCTTCTAAATTATAACTCGCTTGAATGCTGCTGACCTAGTCCATCCATCTTCTCTCCCAGGTAATTTACCATTCCTTTATTGCTTTATCAACTCTTAACATGAAATGCTTCCAAAAATGAGTCTTTCACTACTTCTTCATGTGAAGCAAATACAGAAGAGATGGCATAGGCTTAACAGCTAACAGGATTTTTATTTATTTTTTTGGACCCCCAATTTTAAAATAAAATAAGTGAAGTTGATTGAAGTGTGCATTTGCATTCAGCAGTGACACAAGTGATTCTCAAGCAGTTGTAGTTATTTGGTTTGAAATGCTGCAGCTTTTACAAGTTTGGAATTGCATTTCTTTGTTTTGAAATGTGTTTCCAGAATGTCTTGACTAATCTTCAAGGGCAACTTCCCTCCAGCAGTTCAGGAGAATGTGCTATGCTAGTGTTTTGAGAGAGAATATTCTGAAGAACTACCAAATGCAAGGTTCTAGGGGGAAATTAAAGGAATGGAGTAGTCATACGGGACTTGCCTTTTTGGCAAACCTGTTGAACTGAGAGAAAAAAGCATCTGTGTACCAAGAAACACTAAAAATAGCTGCAACAACTGGAAAGCTTTTTCCATGGAAACAGGAAACTTCTGTGTTTAGAGTATTTCAAAAAGTAGATACGTTGAGTTTGTTCCAAAGGTTTTGAAGGTAAGTTTGACTTTTTGCCTAACAAAATAAAATCACATTTGTAGCCTGACTCCTCTCTCAGCACCAGCCCCGCAAGGGACTCCGCACTTAACAGCACCTGTTGAAGTATTTGAGAAATGTGCTAGTAGCTTGAAAATCATGCTGCTAGTGGTTGATAATGTAACAAGAAAAGTTGTGGCAAATGGGCATAAAAATAAAAGGCCTGTTTGAAATTGCCCTGGCTATTTATACTTGATTATTTTTCTCCTGTTTTGCAGTCTGATAGTCCATTATCTTTTTTTTTTAGCTTTCCCCAGAGCATGCTTTTTCTTTGGTTTGTTTTGATCTCAGAGTGTTACAAGCAGTTGGTAACATAAATGTTGGGGTCCTTTTAAACCAAGCAGATCTAAAACTTTAAATTTTAACCAAATGTTTTCATTACTCTTATACAAACTCAAGCTGCTGCAGTGTTTACAACCAGCAAGAACATTCTCCTGTTATCCAAACATTGCAGCATATTCCCCCTGTTTGTTTTATTGAGCATTGCCACATCATGCTCATGTTTCAACTCACAAGGGATGAAATACATCTTTGCAAAAGACCGACACAACTCTAGGCTCCACTCAGTTGCTACGTTTTAACTTTGCAAACTAATTGTGTGCAAGTGGAATTTTAATGACGTTCACACCTTGAAGTCTCTCTGAGTTTTTTAAAAGGTGAAATTCATATCTAGTGTAGACTAAGAAGATCCAGCTGTGTGTTAATCAGAGCAAATAGAAATTCTGAGCCTTCTGTACCTGGAATACGTAAATATTTACTCTTCCAAAAACAATCAACGAAGGGGACAGTGTTTTAAGGTATTTTTGTCATCAATTACTAATACCAGCTATCCAATCATAGGGATCAAATAATGATGTCCAAAGGGGAAAAAGGTAAATCTAACTTAATCACTTTGTAGTTTCAAAGACCTTGGAGAATGAAGTCTAAGGTTTCTTCCTCTGCTCTGATTCCTGAAACAGCTGGACATCTGTTTCTGTGAGATTCAATTACTACACAGAAAGCTTGTCACGTGATTATATGTTTGTACGTAAAGAGAAGAGGTTTTCTGCAGAAAAAGCAAGTCCTTTCTCCCAGTTATGTATTATTTACAGAGACATTTTGAAGTTAAAATTTGTGTTAATTATTTTTCTATGCAAACAAAAGTTCCCATGTCGATCAATCAAATTCCTTCTTGTGATTTTTGGGATATTCATTCATCAGTCTCATATTTTGTGGTTGATGACTAAAGTGTTTCTGTTTTGATTGGAAAGCTATTACCATTTAGTTTTATTTATTTATTTATTTATTTATTACTTTAAAAGCTTGAACTGTTCAGACTGTACCTTAGACTATGCCTAATTTCCCAGATTGTTTTGAGACATGAACATTTTCCACACATTTTGTCCTTTGAGAGATCCTGTTTGAACAACTTTCTAAAGCCAGGAGATGGGAATGAAGCATGAAATAAAAATGATGCACTCCTTTAGGCAAATCTAGTGTTATTGGACCATGTACACGGTAGCTAGTACAATATGTTGGGGAGAAATACTGATATGGTACAAAATAGTTTGGAGGAGACAGCTGAAGGGAAACAATACCTAGGCTCTTGTTCATGATGCTGTTCTATGTGTTTATGAGGAATGCAGGAAAAATTTTAAGAGACACATTTATCACAAGATTACACAAAGGTCGAGTAACAGATTGTTTGTGCAGGTGCTAATTAAAGAGAGTGAAGTGCAGCTGTCTCTAAACCAGGATGGGACATAACTAGCTCCTGGACTGTTGCCCTCCAAAGAACTCATCCTGGCCAACCCAGATGCAAGAACATCTGGAGACATATGCTGATGTGAAAGAGCCGAGGAGGGAGGAGGCTGGAATAATGTTCTTTGTTGCGATGCATAGAACATCACTGCTTCTCCGTGTTTGTAGCTCAGGATTCTCAAGCAAGTAGAGCGAGGTAGGGCACAGAGTAGGACTTGGTGAAAACCAGATGCTGTATCTTCACTGAGTTCTCCTATTTACCTCAAATCTTATCCCGAAGGTCTAGCTTCCCACTTGCAAAAGGGAGAGAATACAACCCAGGTCATATACCATGCTAATGTGATAATCAGTGAAAAAAGGCATTTAGCTTTTTTCCTTTAGATAAATGCATAGTTTTTAATAAATTATTTCCCATTTATTCCTGCAACTGATACCCAAGAATTGTATTTTTTATCCCCGTCTAAATCAGCTTGCAGAACTGAATCCCCAATATTCTTGCTGATGATACAAACCTGCTAGGATATACTTCTCTGCATACAACTGGGAAAAAAATCAGCTTCACAGGTGGGTGGCAGCATTGGACTGGAAGTGGAAAAATTCTTGAATTTACAAAATGTAAAAATACCTGATATAGGAAATAGTATCCTGCAGTAAAAATACAGGTTTAGTCTTCAAAGGAAATGAAATATGCAGCATTATCATATGAAGCACTTCACATAGCACTTTGCCTTCTCAGTCTACAAGTACAAACCCAGCATATGCCCCATTCTCTCATATTCTGGCCACAATATAATGGAATTGATGGGAATTGAGCTGCCATAGCTTGACGCACCTTTGCCAGCTCCCTGGCATAGCAGATATAATCAGGGAAAGAACAACATACTCCAAGTAACTCTGTTCCCCTTATTACGTGACTGTAACAGCAGCCAACGATAAATAATGCTCCAATCATTGTTTCCTTTCTCCAAGTATACAGAAGATCATCTTTCCCTCATAAAATACCGTATTTTCTTGCATACAACACACACATTCCCCCAAATCATCCCAAGTCTCCTCCTTGCCCCCCACCCCCAATCAAAAGTTGGAGTGCGTGTATCAATCAGGAAGGCTGATTTTCTGTCTGGGATAGAAGCACCCTGCTTTGATTACTGCTCTATAATACAGCAACTGTGGCATTTCTATCCAGGCAGTTGAGAGTCAGGTGACTTAATGGCTCATTGTATTGCACTCTACAGATGTTGATGATTATCTCTCCTTTTTAATGACCTTGATGTTCCACTAATCAGGCTAAACTTTTTTAGGCAATTTTATTATTTAGTAGGTATTCTAAGTCTCTCTCCCCTTATTTCACACCCTTAAAGACTGTTGACCTCTTTTCAAAATCATAGATCCACCCGTGGAGACCAGTCTTCAGAAGCAGATAGGTTTTCAGCTGTAGTTAAGCAGGAAAGGAAGAGTGAGTCAGCTGACAGGGTGAGCCAGCCCCATCCCTGCTCTGTGCACCCATAACTCGAAAACATTTTTTTCCTTCGTTCTGCTTCCCAAAACGAGTGTGTATTATATTCCAGGGCACGTTGTAAGTGAGAAAATGCAGTATGTGACACAAACCAGCCAGCATACTGCAGCCTCAATCCAGATGTTGAATGCCATTAATGGTGTCTCGTATCCTTTGTAGGGTGTCAACATCACAATGCCTTCTACAGTTATTACATATTGCTTTAACAACTGCTGGGCTTCTACCATTTGCTTTGGGAACTGAGTTTAAAATCCGTGTACCTGTGTCTAGTTGTCAGGATGTCTGCACAGAAGCCTGCTGTCTGTGTTGGAATGAAATCTGATGTGCAG